ACACTTGCCTCCATGGCTACAGGTGGCGCTACTGACACTCCCACGTTTAAATTCCCATATATACCCAATACAGTGGCTATGGGAATACCCGCCGTTGTAGCTCAGTTGGAAGAATATCGAACGCGTTATTTGAAGGTCGCAGGTTCGGTTCCTGCCCAAGATAAGTTATCTTTTTAGCCACTTTTCTTTCTTCACATTTACATTACAATTTGGTTAAACACCTTCCTCTATACCTTCCGTGGCAATATTAACTGTTAATCTCATTGATATAGGGTTAAACACGAAATACAAACCTCTAAGTGTACACCTATATATATATATATATATATATATATATATATATATATATATATATATATATATATATATATATATATATATATATAGTCCAGTAGATCCTCCGTGAGCGGTCACAACGTGGTTTATTTCGACGTTTCGGCCTAGAGTCTGGCCATCATCAGGATGATATATATATATATATATATATATATAAGAATGAATACGAAAATACAACATGCATGCATAGATGTGCGAAATGTTGCCACCATTCCATTTAAAATTGTGCGCAAGTGTTCGAATGGTCACACCTTCACAATAAAGCTGAGAAGTTTAGTTCTTTCCTGTTTCCATTATCTTACCCTTCTCCTATTTATCTCGTGACCTGTTGCCCTTGCGTCTTTGGCCAGTGTGCTTGACGAAACCGTCCTTAGAGCATACATGTGACGCATGAGTATTTGATGAAGGTTATTTCTCTCGACAAGATAAGGTTTACCGCAGTCTGTGCTGCCCCCACGTTGGGTTTTCGTAGTATTTGTGCTCATGCATGTTACCGAACACGCGGCTTTGCGTCGGCGTTATACACTTGAACTTAAGCGTTTCTTCGTTAAAGGAGTTCGTCTGGGGAATGGCTCTACATTCACTTGTTCCGTCTGTTCTTTTGAGATACAGATGAAAACGCGGGGAGCTTCGAAAACCGATTCTTCTTCCAGCAGCTGCCGCCAAGTGTCATAGACAATATGAATGAAGCTGTAAAACCTGGACACTGGTATTTTCGCTGAAACATGAAATGGCAATTTAGATCGTTGTAAGCAAGACCTCGCTGCATGTTTATTCAGGGGCGCAAAGGCATACGACTGGCTAGTACACAGTGCACTTACCATCGAGATTGAGCCCAGTCGGAATTGCATAAAGCGGGCTTGCACCTCGCGCTTGATATCATATGAAGTTGTCTCGCCATTGCCGAAAATCTCTGTGAGGTACCCCTTGAACGCTTCCTTTCAGGGTATTCACCGAAGTGACTGACCCGATCACCGTTGAGTTCATGATTCCTCGGCCGCTTTCATGTCGAAAAGAAGGAGCCACTTGTCGTTGCAGACGATCGCGCTATCTTTTATAAAAGTTGCAGAACTCAGCTAATCATCCGAAAAATCCTCCCCACCCCCACCTGTATAACTCTATGGCAGTCCAATGTGCACGTGTGACAACTGTAGAAAACTTCTGCAATAATTGTTGAAATCGTGCCACAGAGAACATTTTTCTCATGTGAAATTTTATCGTGTAAAATTTTACCGTGTGGGGCTTGCGCTTGACTGCAATCACAAAAGAAAATTTTTGACTGCATGCAACTCTACAATTGCTAAGTTGCTTTCTGCAAACGTTGGAATCCGCTTGCGCTTTGCTTAAAAGAAAAATTGATGGTAAATAGGAGTCCAAACATCTGCGTGCTGGTCGTGTCAAACACGGCCTGTCTATACAGGGTGTCTCACGTAACTTTAGCCACAATTTAAAAATACGCCGGAACACGTAATTACGACGCAGCCAAATGCATGTTAACATGCTCACCGCCTGGAGTTAGTCAGACTATTTTTTTGTGTTCTCAAAGATTTTTTAGGTAGATTAGTTTGTTAACTAAATTTGAAGGAAGGAAGATCAATAAGAAATGAAAGAAAAACTTCCATCGGTTTGCAAACGTCCAATTGGATAGTTTTGAACTTTATATCTGTAAAGTATTAGTGTTTTTCTTCTAATTACAAATGCCCGCAAAGCACAAAAGTACCACGTGACAAACCCACTCGTGCGCCACTGCGCACAATGGTTCTAGTGGTCCCGAACGTTCCGCGTGCGAACGATCAAAGGACTTGCCCCATTGTGCTATCTCAGCTGGGCCGCAACGATGATGGTGTCTTTACCACGAGCACGTTTTGCTATCGGTAAGCAAGAACGATAAGCGCTGTGACTGCTTTTCGCTGTCATGAACCGTTGCGAGGGAAGGATGTCGTTCGCACGCGTAACTTTAGGGAGCACTAGAATCATCGTGCGCACTGACGCGCGAGCGGTTTTGTCACGTGGTATTTTTTCGTATTTCACGGCGTTTGTAATGAGCAGAAAAACACTAATACCCAACAGATACATAGTTCAAAACTGTCTGTTTGGACGTTTTGCAAACCAGTCTACACCTTTCTCAATGAAATTTTTAACAATATTTGTTGTTTTAAATATAAAAAATAAAAAAAATATAAATAAACAATTTTTGAGAACACAAAAATAGTCGGACTAACTCCAGGCAGCGGTGAGCAACTCACATTTAGTCGCGTCGTAATTACGTGTCCCTGCATATTTTTAAACCCTGGCTAAAATTACGAGGGACACCCTGTTATAGACGCAATTTTACAGTGGCATATAGTAGCGTGGTTGCGCGCGTTTCTTGCAGCAAAATTATGTCTTTTTGCCGGAAGCACGCATCACTGCATGTTTCAAGCTTCAATTCGACACAGAATGGGTCGTTACTTTTTACCAAAGCAGTACGCTCGGCCATCCTAATTTGCATATAGGCGGCCATAGCAGACGACGTCAGCAGTCGGGCAATATTAGAAATGTCCACATTGTCAGAGCAGTTAATTAGCGTTTAGTGCTGTAAAAATCTACAGCAGTATTTCATTGATTTCATTAATCTCATGTACAACAGTAATGATAGAGAAAGGAGATGCTAAACCAGCTTTGGCCTGTGCGCTAGAGGGCTGGCGGAAAAATCCAGTCATGTACAAGCAAGCATGTCTCCGCATGGGGATGATGTCCTCGCGCCCAATAAGGAATTTTTGAACTATTCACTACATTTTGGGGAGAGGGGTCATTTGTGCGACTCAGTAGAACATTTTATTGGTGATGGCTATTTATCTGTCCAATTTTGTTATTTGGTCAAATCTTTGGGGTTGGCTGACTATGATAGACTTACTTCAAATGTTAAAGTGTATGAAGGGGATTCCTAATGCTCAGGTGGAAATTGTCTTTATTCTTTCGTTATGTGCAGCTAACATGCCCCACATTTATTTCAAAGATAACGGCTATCGAATCATTTGTTAGTTAATTGGCTAACATAGAAAGCCTAAAAAGATTGAGGACAGAGTCGGTTTTGTGCTTTCTTCATTTTTTTTCGTTATGTTCGTGCTCTTGAACCTAAAGGTATGCATCGCCAACTAATTTGCCCGCAAATATTGCTGAAGTCGTTCATACTTTTTCCTGTTACAGTATTGGTGCCTTACGTTCGTAAGCAAGTTTTAGATTCAAGCTTCAATAGTCGGCAGCATGAAACAATAGTTTTGTTTATGTAGTCATGCCCTGCTAACCTATTTACAGTGTAAAAGCCTCGGCACGATGTTGGATAGCACTAGAGCACCTAATTGTAATATAACTTATAACACATCAGAAATGTTTTTGTTGGCATTGTAAACCACAATGACTAGCTTGCGATTCACAGCGCAGCATAATGGTTCATTAGGTGGTGGAAGCCGTACTATCTGAGACTGCTGAATTTCTACAAATGCTGCTGACTGGGCAAGTTGGTGCATGAGAAAAATGATATTGCTTTAGCGCAGGTCAGTTTGAGAGTGGAGGAAAGATGCTATGTAATAAGGAAGGGGAAAACAGATGACAAAGCTCAGCTTGAGCGTGAAGAAAAGATGGTATGCAGTAAAGCAGGAAAAAAAAAACGGACGAAAATGTGGCTGTCGTCTCTTTTTTTTCCCGCTTCTTTACTGCAATGCGTCTTTTCTTCACGCTCTAGCTAAGCTGCGCTAAAGCATTGTCATTTTATCCTACAAGTTATCATTGTGTCTTCGCCTAATAAAAGTTCAGGATTAAAGAAAAAAACGTGGGCGTCCTTGAGCCTACTCTCATAACAGTTACAAAAGAGAGTATGCACGTTTTTTTTTCCAAGTTTCGAGGGTTCTTTGTGCAGTGATAAATGGGCGGCGTCGTAGCTACAACATACGGCCATAAGGCGCATAGAAAAGAAAAGCACACAATTTACGGCTTGTAAAAACTATTGTACCAAATTCCGCATTCACTCAACTGACTTTCTAGTATAGGCAATTTATCTGAAGATATAGGCTCTTACTGTATTTTTAAAAGGAGGCCACAGTCATACTTACTGTCTACACAAACATCATCACCCTCATCCTAAACATTGCTTTGCATTCTAAAGGGTAATTGATGTTTCTTCGAATTCTTGAAAGCTCGTGTGTCAAATGTCCTATTTTTGTCACGTAAATTCAAATATTTTTATATGTGTGTTACACCGTGTTTTGTTTTATACGAATTATTTATTGATGTCACAGCCTGAACTACTGTCTCTTTTTTTACACGAGTGGCTTGCATGTAGCAGTTCTCCTTCGTCCTTTTCTTTCTTGTTCACGGTATAATTTACACTGGGCATTGTGCCATTCCGGTATGATGTTTGGTTCACATAAAGAAGGCGCCTTGTCAGGGTTCTTGGCCAAATAAATTTCCTTTTAACAAAATAAACTTTAAGAAGTTTTAATCACACAAAAATTTTTATGAAACTTGCCCAGCAAGCTCTTACCCAGAGCGTTGATCAAAGCTTCCCAAGAGTGGCCTTAACGCCCACATAGGTATGTCAGAATATACATATGTCAAAATGATTTCGTGTTGATGATATCGCGTGCGGGTTGCACTGGAGTAGTAGGTATAAAACAAGGACTTACGACAGGTCAAGGTTCCGAAGCGCCACCGCGGGCCGTGCCATGATGGACCGTTTTAGCTGCGAAACATCAGTGTTGCGCAGCGTGACGCTCTCCAGGTTGGTGAGTTGCGCCAGCCACCAGTCATCCAGGAAACTTACGACGGCAGATTCGACGGTCACGTGAAGCATTCCAGCGGGCAGTGCACCAAAATCACTTGTCAAGTTGAGAACCGCATCGACAATGGTGAGGGAGCGCAGACTCTCCATGTCGGCAAGTATGGCCCACGAAGGGGGCAGGGTGCTGTTGTCGCTGAAGGTCATGTTCTCAACGGATGTGCGGAGGCCAGCGAATGGATTGTCCTCTTCGGCGAACTCGAACGTCTCAACGGTAACATTGCTGAGCTCGAGTGAAGTAGCGCTGACATCTATAAACGCACCAGCGGGAAGCCGGTCTAGCCGACTGTCCCGCAACACAAACGAGAGAGTGGGACGCGACAAGGGGCGTTGGATGTAGTGCTCAAAGTCCATGGCACTACCAAAGTCCGCGCACGTCACCGACGCCGTCGTGTTGCGACTCGAGATGTGGCAAGATGGCGAACCAAGTGCCGCACCCGCGAGAAAGAGCCAAGCGAGTGCTGCGCGTGACATTCTGGTGCCAGACTGTCTGACAAAGCCAGCCGTCTTCACCGGCGGCTGAGCAACCAGATAAGGAGGCCCCTATCTTGGCTGACCGCGAAATACTTACGAGTCTCCGGTTGCCGACGACATGAGACACCACGAGCTGCTGCGCCGATGGTGGGCGTCACGACGGCAAGCAGGTGCAACGTCGCAAGAGTAAGCACGGAACGTCCACTTGCTGGGGCTTCTTTCTTTCTGTGTGGCACACATAAGAGGGCACCGCAGTTGAAGCCGTGATGTAGCCGTGCCGTTTATTCTTCGATCTTCTTACCTGCTTTGTGACTGTGACTCAAGCCAGAAAGTTGGTCAAAAGTACAAGCCCTGCAAGCACTGTATATTTTTTTAATTTCGACACCACAAGCCCTTATGGGCGGAGTGCTTAAGAGGCCCGCGCTGTCTTTAGCTACCATATGGGGCCATTGATTCACGCACCGCAGTGAAGTCACGTATAGCATAGCCTTCAATAGCATATTGAGTGCGCGCTCATGCCAAGGAGAATTCTGCTTCTTTTCATTCTTCGAGCGCCTTGCTGATGGATCACTTTAGGAGCTTGGATTGTCATATGCTGTGACCTTTTGGCGTAATGCAGGAAGAAGTAAGTATTGAGGAATGGGCAGAGAAAGGATAGGAAAAAAGGGCAACAACAAAAATGAAGAGAGAAAGAAGTGTAGAAAAACAAAACTAAGCAAAAACGGGGTGCGCTGTCCAGATCCGCACTTACTTCAGCCTTAGTACCACTAGTCCCTTGTTTATTTTTGTATTTGTTTTATTCGCGTACCTACAGAAAGAAATATCTATTTCTTCCGGTGGATTCAAACATTACAACTGTCAGAATAAAAGGAGAACTTTTGCTCCCCAGCATGGTTTTAGATACGACTTATACGAAGTTATTTCGAAAAAGGAGAGTTACTTATCACCGAACGCAAAAGTTATGCAAACTGCTTAAATGTTTGCGGGAACAACCACTCTGACGGTGATTGACGACACATGGCAGCTGTGGTGCAGTCTTTACGGCAGCGGTGTTGCGAAAAGAAAAATTATGCAAGCTGTGCTCTCACCTTCTTACATAAACACCCAATAGACAAGTAGTCTTTGCTGCGTATTACTCAGCCTGTCTAAATATTTCGACACAATTTTTCCAACGACCCTGAATAAGGCTGCCTTTTTTGTGGCTGTTCACATCGTACCATTGCCACATTTAAAACATTGTCCCCCCGTTGACAGTGGTGCATTATATTTTTTGCCTACTAACCTGTTTAGTGTAAAGGACACTGAAGTTTTCGAGGAAGCAGAAAGTGCGTGCTTCGTTACTGGTGGGGAAAAAAGACGTGGTGTTTCGTATACGGTGACAACCTCAGTCGTGGCTTTAGCCACGGGCTCTCTCCGCAACAGGGCTTTTGTTGTGTAGGCTGAAATGGGCGTCAGTAGAGTCATGTACCGACACGCATTGTCTAGGGGCTTGTGCTTCCACCAACGTGGTGAGCGCAGCTGCTTTTCGTATTCTTTCTGCTACTTGTAGACGTGTTACGGAAGACAGAAATCTCGTCTGCACAGATACGTAGACTGTCTTGGGCAGTTAAGAGTGGTAACCAGATGTGTACTTTTTGTTGCATTTACACGCAAGACATTGTGGCAGCACACAATAACAATCAGTGGACAGCAGTTGCTCAGATTAGAAAGCACCACTTTTTAGGCGTAATCACTGATCATGACTTATCGAAGATGCCATGTACACATTTTGTACCTAAAGAGATGGTTGCGCATGTTCTCAAATTTCTGGGTTGAAAGCCATTGAACACTTCAGTATAGTTGCACGCCTCAAACCATTAATGGGCGTGTATGAGCTGGGAGAGTGTTTTTTGTTGTTGTTATTGTTGTATCATAATTTATTTCTTGTACTTTTGCATTATTGTAGCGTAGTTTTCTGGTCGCTACTTGGTGGCCGCCAGAAAGAAGACACGTGCACATAGCAGATTCATATACTTTCTCCTAAACCGATTTATTTGGCTACAGTACTCCTAATAGACGCTGTACACACTTGTACACAACATACCTGTGACAACACTGCGCGGCACCCACTGCAAGTTGAACTCGTGGCGTCCACCGTGCGACGCCTCTCGACTCCCCTGGAAACATACTGAGAGCTAGCACAGCGATCAAACAAGAAAGGACCACTCATAGTGGCTATCGACGACACCTAATTGGGTGTCACAAATTTAAACAGGTACACCTAATCTCAGGCGACCTCCACTGAGTCAGACCTCGAGTACAGCTGTCAACGTAAAAAAATAAAGATCTCAACTAAATAAACACGCACAGGAAACTCCAGCGACGTCCATTAGGCTTCAACCGTATCGTTCACTCCACTTACTAACCCACGCCGCGGATGCAGATCCGTAGGCATTCCCTAAATAAAAAACAGCCCCTCGTACGATGCAAGCTAACGCTCGAACCACAAATCCAGTGACACACTCTAGGACGCCACCACAAACCCTACTCTTGGGCAGACAGACGACATTAGAACGAGCCAAAAGTTAAAAGAATACTGCTACATCAACGTTTACGCAACACCTCTCCTATACGAACTTAGAGTGCACTCACCCTTGATGAGCTGCAACTAAACTGAAAAAGCCACCAACCAGGACATACCGTGCTTCGCGCCATGCCAAAAAGAAAGGACATTTCACGTTGGTTTAGAAGAAACCGCATAACTTAAAAAACGCATAACTATAACACGCGAGAAATGCGACCTGCAACCACAGAAATGTACGAAACATTTAAAATCGGCAAGACGCTGCAGCGTGATGACGAAATACAGATGCTAAAAATGAAACTTGGTTTAAAACAGTGAAAAAATGAACTGCTAACTGTAGTTCTCCCGCACACATCTCAGTACCAAAGCGCACACTGCGACACATAGAGTTCATAAGGAGTGCTCCAACTCGCTCGCTCACTCACTCATTCACTCACTTACTCACTCAGCGTCACTGGTTGTATAGCGAATCTCGGCGTCACGATCACAAACCCACAGTCTTTTTCGGTTTGGTGTAGGCTGACTGGTCCCGATATTGTGCTCTCAGATCAAAGTAGACTTCGGTGTCAGTATTCGAATGTTCACATTGACCGTGGTCATTAGTGGGGGGAACTGTAGCACCACTTTGCGGCTCAGTGGTGTCAACACGGACCGACATTCGTGTTCACTCTCACTATCGTCATCTGCGTCCTCGTCGAGACATGAACGGCGGCGACACAGTTTCAAACACGCTACGGTCAGAATGTCCGTCTTCTTTCCGTTGCGGTCTACGACCTTTCAATTGTTCTGCGCGACTTGTCGAAGGAGACAAATTGGTCTATGGTAGTAGTGGAGGAGCTTTGTTGTTTTGCCCTTCGTTCGTGAGGGCGTCCACATGCAGACAAATGGCACTGGTCGGTCGGAACACAGCGCCCCGTCGTCGGGCATCGTACGCCCTCTTGCTTTTTGTTTGCTCGTCTTTCTCGCGCTGAGCCACGAGCTCCCGAGCTTCGTGAAGCCTGTACACCACCTGATAAGCATTGAAGGCAATCTAATTGTCACGTTGCAGGTTGAGGCACATGTCAATGGGCAAAGTTGGCTCGCTGCCATGCAACAAGAAAAGTGGCGTGATGCCAGTTGCATTTGTTGCAAAGAGTTGTAACCGACGACGACATATGGGAGGAATTCGTCATTCGTACACATCCCGGTGGCTTGTCAAGACATACATACTCAGCATCTCTGCAATCGTACGGTTGAACCTCTTGCACAGGCAATTGGTCTGTGGGTGGTAGGTGGTAGTTGTGACGTGATTTTTCCCGTTGCTCGGAACATCTTTTCAATTAGGTTACTAACAAAATTCTTTTCCCGGTCAGTGATTGATTGGCCAGGGCTCCACGTCACAGAACTACTTTCTCGACAAAAGCCTGGGCTGCCTCAGCGGCCGTTGCAGCGGGACAGTAGAACGCTTCTACCCTTATTGTGAGGTAGTCATTCATCACAAGCATGTACCAACAGCCGTGTTCACTTTTCACGAGGTGTCCTAAGAAATTCATCCCGATTTCCTCGAATGGCCGCCGCACAGGGAGTATAACTTGTAGAAAACTAACAGGTTTGCTAAGTGGTGGCTCTCTCGTCTGGCCGTCTGGTTAGGTGAGGACGTACTTGCTCACAAATGTGAACAATTTTGGCCAGAATTACCATGTCTTTTCAGTCTATTCTTTCCTGGGTTCGTTTTGTGGCCTCGCGCTACACAAATTGTTTCAAATTTCTTTCAAAATTCTTCCAGAATCACCAGCAGCGTACTTTACCCTATGTGCGCTTGACGCCAAGGTGGCCTGCCATAGTGTCGCCATGGCAGTGCTTTAAGAATTCCGGTCTCAGACACCTGGGAACAATTGCAGCGTGGTCTTGCTGAAACCCCTTTGCCCTCTGATACAGAACATCACTCAACTAGAAGCTCCGTGCCGTTCTTTTAGTTTTCCTTTTAACTAAAACGTTCAGCTACTCGAGGTGCGGGATATTATATCTTATCCATGGATCTGCCTTTTCCCATTCCCCCACGTTCAGTCGATCCAGAGCCAGCAACGGTAATTGATTTTTTTTCGCTTGCTGGCGTGGGACCACGAGGTAGGCGAGGAAGCGTATTGGCATTTCCGTTCTTCCGGCTTGAGTGGTGTCTTAGCGTTATGTCGAATTCCTGCAGCAACAAAGACCACCGCATGATACAACTATTCGCATTCTAGACCCTTATAAGCCAAGCAAGGCTAGCTTGGTCGGCCAAGACTGCGAAATTGGCCCCGAAAACGCACGGCCCAAACTTCGCGCAGGCGTACACGACAGCGAAACATTTCTTTTCAGTTGTTTATTATTACTTCAGTTTTAAAAGGATGCCGGCTAGCATATGCGATTATTCTTTCTTGAGTGGCGATTTTCCGAGCAAGCACGGCTCCAATGACTTATTCACACGTATGCGTAAGCACCTCTATTGGCCGCCCCACTCAAACTTGTACAGAATGGGGGCAGTGATAA